AATATACAAAATAATTTATATATATATATATGAATCTATCAAAAACAAAACCAGAAGCCAGTATTGTGGCACACACCTTTAATCCCAGTACTCAGGCGGCAGAGACAGACAGATCTCTGTAAATTCAAGACCAGGTTACATAGTGAGCTCCAGACCAGCTAGGGCTACAGGGAGACCCAGTCTCAAAAAGACAAAAAAAAAAAAAAAAGTCAGAGCATCTAGCTAAAATGACTTATGTGGTAAAATTACATAACAGGATCATTATTTTTCAATCAAAGTGCAAACTCTCTAGAAAACAAAAACAGTTTACCAGATGTTAGAGAAAGTAATCACAGTGTAAACAGAGAGGATGCACAGCAGAGCACTGAAAAAAGAAGAGGTTTCCCCTCTGTCAAGGACTCTCGGGGACCAGAGTTTCCAGTCACATTCCCAGAGAGAAAAGATATCAGTAGTCACTTCACAAGTGAAGACTACAAACCTTCTGCCACCTAGAGCAATACTTCATGGACTCTTTCTACTTGTCCTTAAATGGTTATTCTATTCCCCAAAATCTGTCATCAACCTGAAAAACACAGTACTTACCACGCTCATGTGGAAGGGAGCTTTCACTGTCTTCCTCTCCTGAAATTTGTTTTGCCATTGTCCTTTGAAATATATGGCACTCACCAGGACCATGACAGAGGAAGGGTCAATTGTGCCCTTCCCAAAGAGGTTCGTGACTTTTCCTTGTATTAAAACAAAAGAAGAGATCATTTTATTTGGATTTTAACATTAATAATAGAGATTTGAATAGTAGCAAGAAACTCATACTGAGTTTTGTCAGACTATGAATCATAATTTTAGATGCCAAAAGGTCTCTTATTTCCTGTCATGGTCTTCCCTATCAGCAGAAGTTTAGTCCAATGAATATGAAATGACTCACTATTTCTAATAATCCAGGAGATTGTATCTTAGTAATAACTCAATTTGTGTTAAAGCAACTAGATATAGCTAAGATATTATTGTGCATTATTGATTATCTAGAAAATTCTTTAATAACTTTTGTAACTTATGTTCCTTCAGGTCAATGAGATGGCTCAGCAGGTTAAAGGACTTGCTGAGCAAGGCTAAGAATTTAAGTCCAATCAAAAGAATTTAAGGTAAGTAACTATAATGTATGCATTCAATTTGTGATAATTCATCAAATAGTATATACACAGTAACTTATTTTTCTATATGTACATATATTTTCAATCAAAAAATTGTTTTTAAAAATGAAGGTTTAAGGGTCCTGTTGGTCAATTTCAATGGACAAATGTTGTTGAATCCTGTTTCAAACACTGAAGAAGCAAATATGAAATACTTTATTTTTTATTATAAACTTATTTGTTTTGTGTATCGGTGTTTTACCTGAATGTATGTAAGTGCACCATGTATACACAGTACTCATGGAGGCCAGAAAAAGATGTCGGATCCCCTTGAAATGGAGTTACAGACAGTTGTCAGCCACCATGTGGGTGCTGGGAACTGAACCCAGTTCATCCACAAGAACAGCCAGTGCTCTCAACTGCTAAGCTATCTCTCCACTCTCCAAATATGAAATGTTTTAAAAGTC